GTCGCCCACCCCCTATCTCCTTACTTAATTCCTGATATACTTCATTCGGACACTTTAGTCCGATCCACGGTATTTAACACACCGATGGAGGGTGGTTCGGTACAATGCGCACTGGATCTTTACCTACTGACCAACAGATTTTGCTATGCATTGTGTGCACTAACCTATAGAGAAGGCTCATTTGCTGCGCATTGTGTTGCACGACAATTCTATTGATCTTCCACTTTTATTTGCCAGCGGATCTTGAGGGCTTTTCATACGACAAGCATGAGGGTTGGGCTTCCCTATGCGTGTCTTATACATAGGTGAGTCACTTCTTTAGGAGCTAGTTTCCCTAAGAGGGGTCCGACGTGGGTTTCCAGGTCGATAGGCCATACGACTATCGCCCAGAGTCGGTCTCATACTTCATGTGAGCTAGGACAGCCAGTTGACTCGATCGTGCCGGCTGATCCAATTGATGACCTGATCTCTTTTGATCTATCCGATTTTCCTTCTGCTCCTCCACCCTTCGATATTCTATCTTCTTCTTTGGCTCCTCCTCCATCTGCATCAGTACCTCATTCTCCTCCTCCTCCTCCTGAGTCGGTTCCTTCTGTGTCTGCTCCTATCAACCCGTCAGTTACTCTCTTGGGATAGATAATTGTGCTGATCAAGCAGCAGGCTCGTATGATGACAGAGAATTACCCAGCTGCGTGCCATAGTAGATCGACATACTACCGAGTTCGTCGCCATTGGGACAATGATGTTGATTTCGAGGTGAGGACGGATTCAGATGATACTGTCGGTGCCCCTCAGCTGTAGGAGTCCCTATGTCATTTTATGCCAAAAATGGGGAGTAGTTTTTGATGTTGCAGTATTAGTTTTAGATTTTTGTTGATAGGAGTTAATAGCAGATGATTTTGTTATGCTTACATGATGTATGAATATCTNTGTTGCAGTATTAGTTTTAGATTTTTGTTGATAGGAGTTAATAGCAGATGATTTTGTCATGCTTACATGATGTATGAATATCTGGATGTAATTAACCGTTTGGTATATATATGAAAATGGTATTTTTGACTCACATGCATATTTGTTTGAATTCAGTTCACTAAATTAAGTTTTTGATGTTTTTACAGTGTTAATGTTTCATTTTTAGTATGTAGTGTTGCATTGATACCGTGTCTTAGTTTTTCTTGTGATTTAAGATTGCAAAATATGCTACTTGAGTTACAATTGCTTAAATGACATCTACATGTGAAATGTTTGAACTGTGGTTATCTTTGATACTATTTTCCACACATTTTACACTGGTATTTGAGTTGTTTATTTCAGGAAACAGGTACTGTAGAGTTCATTCAAGACAGTTTGTAGTTTAGGTTGTGTCTGTAACTTTTATTTTATTACTATCTTGACATAGATTAGTGTTTTATCACAGAATGCCAAATGGGGAGTTTGTTNAAGTTAGTTAAATAGGTCTAGGGTTAGCTCGAGCTACAAAAATTTGGAACAAGGAGCAAAATGACACGAATTTTCGCTAGACTATCGCCAATGGTTGACTCGAGCTACAAAAACAGAAACTATTTCGCTGGGCGTCGCCTCTCCTTTGCTTGAGCGAAGCACTGTCGCTCGACTGTCGCGGCTCTTCACTCGAGCGACAGCTTTATCTGGAAATTTTATTTTCACGTTTTAAAGGCTTTTGTTTCGGCCCATTGATTTCTTGACCTATCTATATATACCAGAACGCGTACAGAATGTAAGGGCGAGGGTTGTTAATTGAGAGAGGTTCATCATTCAGAGATCTAATCATTCTATCATTCAACCTTCATTTTGTATGAGTGTTTTGGTCAGAAAAACATCAGATCCAATATCAAACTACTAAAAGTCATACTTCTTGCATATCTGTCAGAGGTGCTGAAGATCGAGGAAGGCGATTGGAGTTCCAGTCTGTGAATAACGGGTCGTTCTTTGTGATCCACATTAGATAGACAAATTCACAAGACTGGAGTACTGCAGGGTAGCAGATTCCACGGAGAGCTTTGACAACAGCGGCTGAGGATTGGTGCAGGAGAGCACAGGATCCAAGGAGAGCTGTGAGAAGTGAAGTCGGGTGATCCCAATTGGGTTTCTTCGTGATCATCTGGTGTTTGATTTACTGCTCTATGTTACGAATGAATGATCCATAGCATTTAAACTTAGGATTAAACTGACTGTATAATTAACCATCTAGAAATAATTAATTGGTGACTTGTTTCTAATTAGTTAATAAGATTTTAATTCTGCATATTATACATATTCACCCCCTTCTATGTGTTGTTAGGGTCGAACTTGCGTTTCTCAAAAGGAATCAAAGATGTTCTCGATGTGCCGCTCAATTGAGATTGTGGGCATTTATATAATCAACAGGCGACTTAAGATCATATCGCTATGATCAAGAACTGGACCTACTTTGTTGAAATGTTGACCGTGCCGCACTAATTTAGGTTGATTGCTGATCGGTTGACTTGGTTTAATAAATGCACGTTTCTATAAATGCATTTTTGGGCTTATGTTTTGTGATGCAATCTTGCAGGCGTTTATGGTTATTGGATATGTGATTTTCTGGACCATATAAATAGCCTCTCTTGTACAATTTTTACACACCGATTTGTGTGTAGGTGCAATTTAGGATTTCCATCTCTTGTGTTTTCTCTCAAATTGTTCTTCATTCTCTTTGTAATCTGGAGTAGTGGATTATGTTCTTGTACTGAGCCTCTATTTGTTCCAACTTTTTTCCTTATTAATAGAAAAAATAGGAACATTTTTTTTCAAAGTTGGTGGTCCCAACAAGACACAAATGGTCAAAATTGGGAGGCATGACCACTGTTCCAACAGTTTTTTTTATTCTACCAATGAGCAACAAACAAAAGTTGAATGTATATTGTGAGTTTGGAGTGAATTTTTACTGTTGCAAACTTATCTTCATGAGCCGAGAGAAATATTTGAATTGTTTTTTATTTCTTCGTACATTTGGAGCAATATATACGTAGTAGATGATTAACGAGTGAGTAGCGATAATGTGTGCTTTAATAATTTTTAAAATTTTTTTCCTTTAAATTTTTTTTGTTTGACATTAGTTTATTAATTGTTTTATTGTTTTTATTTTTTTTTTCATTTTTTTTAAAGCCTTTGATTTTACATTAGTTTTAATTTTTAAATGACTTTATCTATACAAAAGTAAAAAATGATTTTATCTGATAAAGAGTTTAAGATTTAAGCTACGGTGCTATCGACAATATGTAATTATAATTTTGAGACTTATCATTTTGTTGGAAACTTTAAAAGTGTGTATGAAGTCTATTAACTATGTATTGTCCATTGAAGTAGAAACAATAAAAAATATTCAAGCTTTTAAATTTCGAAAATTTGAAGATTGTATAATTGATTAATTGTAGGATAAGTAAATAAATAAATAAATAAATATATATAATTTATTTATTAAATGATTTTAGAATGATTAAAAATTTAAAATAATATTTTTAAAAAATTATGACTAGGCATTGCTTAGTCTAAAGTTTGGCTTTCATGTCTAATTATGTTTTACATTTTTTGAAAACCAAACAATACATATTTTTTCGAATTCACGTCTTATAAACAATTATAAGTTATGTCCTAAGATTAATTATTAGCAATGTTTATAAATTTTAAGGTTAACCAAATCAGCCCTAAAAGTATTAGTCAGAACCCACCTTGATGTCCCGTCAAGGAGGTAAATCACCGTCCGAGGTAAATCGCGGATGTATCTCAGCAGAATCTGGGAACAACAGCGCCCACAAAAACTCCAATTCCAATTCGAATTCCAATTCCAACAGCCTGTGCTTTGCACCACTGAGTCAGCCTACGATTCAAAACCTAGACAGTTCCCACCCCATTCTCTCCGTGCTCTCTCGGTCTTCTTCGCCTCAGTCTCGGAGGCCTTAGTTCCGCCATAAACAGGTACTCAATGAGCTCATATTCTGTTCTTTTTTTCTTTTTCTTTTCTTTCGTTTTTTCTATTGGCTTCTTAAATTTGGTGGTCATTCAAGAAAGGAAAATGACAAATCAAGTGTTGGAAATTGGGAATTTCGGTTTTATATGTTGAATCCAGTGTTTCATTTCAATATATAGAATGAAATTGGTTTTTTTCATTACTTAGGACGGGTGGATGAATTACAGAGTTCGTAAATGAATTGAATGATGCATCTTTAAACCAGACGCTTTTCTTGTGAACATATATCGCGGCATGTTGTTAACTTGTATAGAATTAGAAAATTAATATTTAGGATTTAGAAAGATTTTGCTAATTCAGATGGATTATGAACTTATAGAGTTTCTGGGACAAAATAAAAAAAATTGTAGTATGCAGTTGTTTGGTGATTGTCTGTTCTTCCTAAATGCCTTGATCATTTTACAAACTGTGCCAAATTTTCGAAGAGTGGTTATGTTTGCCCTGTGAATGTAGTTTATTGATATTTTACTTTTGTAAATGTAGAATCTTTGAATTTACCATCAAAATATGTTTGCCATTATTTTCTTTTTTTCTACTTTTGAAAAAAACAATCATAAACAGAATGAAGGCCAGGCCTAATATGCACATCATTATTGAGATTTAGGAGGAGGGTTTTTTTTTTTTTTCCAATAGAGTTCTCTTCACATTTCCTTTGAATTCTACCTGATTGGCTTCACAAACTGGTATGTATGGACTGTGAAACATGATATATGTTTGATGAATTTTCGATTCAGTACACTATGTTTAATTGATTAAAATTCTCTCCCTTTATTACTTGGTCTCTTCTCCTATAATTTTTTTGTTTTTTATCTAGTTGCAGAGAATAACATGCATTCACTATTTTCACATCAAGGCTAACGTTGTGCTGAAGAGAGAGATCAAATTGTGAGGACCAAAAGGCTATCAATGGCCCTATATGCCTTAATTATATCACGACACTGCCCTTGATCCATCATTGTATCTTGATACATAGTTTCTATTGATCTTTGGAACCATGAAACTGGCTGCGGTTTGTAGATTGATCAGTTCCCATCATAATCTTCGTAGAATAACAAGGCCTTTGCAATATCGTTCATTTCAACCTGATTTTGTTCCAAGGGATCCCAATGCCAAGCTCAAGAAATACAAGTTCCCTGCTTTCTATGATCCATATGGGCTGAGACCTCCACCATCTGAAAAGATTATTCAGCTTGCAGAACAAATTGCATCCCTTACACCCGAAGAGCGTAGTCGAATTGGTCCAGCCATTAGAGACAGAGTAATGCTTCCCAAGCTGCAGCCCATTTCAGTACAAGGCATGGACTTAGGTAGCCAAGTTGGGGCAGGCGCTGGATCTTCAAAGGCTGAG